ATCAAAATTGACTAATTTGTTCGATTTCATGGACAGTCCTATTTAAAAACCCCAAAAATCATATTCAACTTGATCATGTCTACTGAAGTATAAAAAGTACTATCGTGCACGCACCTATGAAAAATGAAAGAGAGAGGCTCAAATGTCTGCTAAGCATTCACCAATGTGGGACAAGGACAAATTTGATACAGCAAAAAATTAAGATAAAACCGAGGAAACTTGTAAACATAAACCAATAATTGTTGATAGTGAGAATCTTGGATTATTGTTGAAGTCCCCCAAGTAAAGTCATGGATATTCATATAATGCATATGCTTGGATTACTGTTGAGGTTTGTGTGCGAGGCAATGAGTTGAAGTGAGAATCTTGAAGTTGGTAGAGGCAAGTATGGGCGAATTCATAAGGCCTTGCATGGCAGATTCGTTGATGCAGTTGTTAAGTCCCATTTTGAGGATGAGGCCCCTACACTTGGAGAAATCATAGTTGTAAATTTGGAGTCGTATGTTTCATGTGTGAAGCCATTGAAGGTATACGAACAAATTGTTCAGAGGCAAAGTCCCTTGTACTAGGGAAGAGACCTCTGAGTTTTAAGTTGAAGATGAGCTGCAGCCTCTAGAGATAGATGCAACAATGATGCAGAAGCAGAGTCCCATGTTTCAGGGATGAGACATTTGGAGTTAGGTGACATATTGAGGCATATGCGAGTTGAAACCTTTAAGCCGATAATATTATTTATAGAAGCGTTTTCCAATGATTTGAACGATCGCATCTGTCCAATAACGGACATTGGAGGCATCACATGTTTTGATGCATGCGTTACATATGTATTTAATGAGCAATAATGAGTTATCCTTATGTGTTCTGTGACGAAGCGCCTTTCATGCATGCATGGGCTACAAAATTCTTCATGGTAGGTCGATGTTGTGGTAGCGAAAAATCGAAGGACATAAATTGTGAATATGAGTTGAATTTTATAGATAATATGGTAAGGATGATATATACAATTGAACGAGAAAAATATTAAAGGAAGAGAGAGATGAGAAAGAGAAGAAGAGAGAGAATAGAGAGAATTTAGTGGAAAAATATTGAGTTCATTTTAGAAAATACTAAATAATCTAACAAAAAATTGAGAATCCATCAAATTTAGGTAAGAAACAACTATTAGGGCCGTTCATGTCATTTAATTTTGCATTTTGCTAAAAAATTTCATAAGAAAGCGAACTTAATTTTTTGTTTGAGAGCTAATTTATAAAAGAGTTTTCTTTTGAGGAAGTCATATTAGATCAACTTCCCCTAAAAACTCCTCTAATTAGAAAAAAACACTTTCACAAAATCAGCCAAGCGAGTCCGGAAGCAACTTTTGAATCTCAAAAGTTCTTTTTGACTTCCAATAGTCATGTCAAACAGTCATTCAAATACTTGAAAGTTTATTAAGATATTAGAGAATCTAAAACCCTAATTACTTATACAATTCGAAAATTCTTCTATATAATATATGTTCAAGGATCCCAGGGAATGCAAATTTGAATTGTAAGTAATGAGATTTCGGGGTTCATATTTCGAGACTCAGTTTAAGGAAAAAGTGAATTTTGATATTTCAATTTGCATCTTTGCCTTGTTATTTTGATTTTTTAGAAGAGTTTTGCTCTTCATGCATGAGCTTTTGATAGAATTACAATTTTGCTATAAAGAGGAATTTAATCAGGCAAGGGATTTTTAATCAATGCGATGAAATATCCTCGGCACTTCGGGGGGATTTTGCGAAGAATTTTCTTTATCAATTATCAATACCTTATTTTCACCAAAATATCTCAATTTGATTTTTTTGGCACTTGGCTCACAATTTCCACTTTAGACTTTTGGAATGCAAAACTCGTCGTTTATTCTTCCTCTTCGTATTTTTAGGGTCCATTATGATACCACACTCTGATATATACTTGGAAAAAATGTTGAAAACCCTGGTCCAAATATCCAAACTACAGATTCCTATATTTTTTTTTCATTTATTTCGTAATTTTGATAAGACAGTGATGGCATATTAGCAATTACAACCAATAGTGGATACGGGAGGTGGAAATTGGTATGGAATCAATTTGGAGCTATTCTTCCTCATTTTTATTAGAAATGTGAGCAAGAAGAGTACATAGTTTGTAAGAAATAAATTGTGTACCTCCGGCCATATTATCCAAGAGTAATTGAGAATTTGTTGTAGAAGTTACACCTCACACTACTAAAAAGCTTTTCTAGCCAATACTCATTTTATAATCTCTTGGTTAAAATAAAACACAAGACTTTCAATTTGAGAGAAAAAATACTGAAGGAAATTTTTGTGTTTCACTGGGGGACCTTGGCATCTTTATATGGGGAACCACTTACCAACATTTATCCAGCATAGAAGTGGAAGAGTTCCTACAATAACTACCCTTCAATAAATGGGAAGTTATTACGACGGACAATAAACCCACCATTTAATCAACCTCTCTTTGCAATTGAATATCTGTGATAAATGATTACGTTCTCCCACTGGTCACATACTCAACAATAACTTTAAGGTGATTACTTTATATGGGCATGTTCTGAAATTGTCAATATCCTACTCAAATAGAAATCAAAATACTTGAATCATGGCTGTCCTGTTTTAATAATCGAACATTTCCTTCCATGTATTACAAGTAGGTTCATTTCCAAAAGAGTACTTTACTTTATGAATGAATTTCCTACAAGTCATTTCTCTTTATGTGATCTCTAACAACTAAATAATTCATGTCGATATATTTGCTTTGTATTCCACTTTTTTTAATTTTTGAAAAGAAAATTATAGTCGAATTATCGCAATAAATCTTCAAAGGCTTCGCAATAGTATCACAATTCTTAAGCATTTGACAAAATTTCTCAACCATAATGTGTGTATTGTAAGTTCATAACAATCAATTAATTCTGACTCCATGATAGACGATTCAATTATAGTCTACTTGCTACTTCTCCAAGATACATCCCCTCCAATTTGAAGAAAAATGTATCATGAAGTAGACTTCCTTGTGTCTACACATCCAACAAAATCTAAATCTGTATATCCAACAATTTCAAAAATGTCGAAATACTTGTATGTGAGTATGTAGTTTTTGGTTCTTTGAAAATATCTCATTACTTTCTTGGCAGCTCTCCAATGTTCTATACCAGAATTACTTTGATATCTGCCTAGTACACCAACTGCAAATGCAATATTAAGTCTAGTACAGACTTGTGCATACATCAAGTTGCCAACAACGAAAGCATAGGGTATGGAAGCCATGTGTTCTCTTTCCAATTCACTTAATGGACAATTTTTCTGATTTAATTTATCACCTATAACAATTGGTGCTACACTTGATGCACAATCTTTCATCCTAAATATTTTCAAAACCTTTTTCAAATAGGCATTTTGAGATAATCATAATGACCTTTTAGACATGTCTTTATGAATCTCTATGCCAATTACATAAAAGGCTTCACCAATATCCTTCATTTCAAGGTTTCAATTTAAAATTGTTTTGTATTATATAGCAAATCCAAATTATTACTTGCAAGTAAAATGTCATTTGGATATAAGATTAGAAAAATGTATTTGCTCCCACTGACTTTAAGATATATGCATAGTTCAATAATATTTTCTGTAAAACCGCGTGAAATAACAATATTGTGAAACTTCAAATACGATTGACGAAAAATCTATTTTAGCCCATATACAGGGATGGCAAAAAAGCTCACCGGCTCGAGCTCGACCCGAAAAAGCACGAGCTCGCACCGAGGCTCAGCTGAGCCCCATTTTGGGGCATCGACTTGAGCCTGGCCCGTGTTTTAAGAAAAAAAAATTAATTTAGCTACTGCAACGCAGGTGTGACACTGCCTTCAAACATGAAAAAAAAATGAAAAAAAAATAATAAAAAAATCGAGTCGGCTTGGGTCCAGCTTGGCTCATAGAGGCCCGAGCTTAAAATTTTTGACCGAGCTTTTGCTTGGTTCGACTCGAGCCTAAAAAAGTTCGGATTTGTTTTGTTCAAGCAAAGCGAGCTTTGAGTTTCGGCTCGTGGCTCAACTCGACTCGTTGAGGATTACTAGTAAATCCTTCAAGCTTTTTCATATAAACTTCTTCTTCAAGATTCTCATTCAAAAATGCCATTTTCACGTCCATATGATGTGGCTCCAGATCAGAATGAGCTACTAAAATCATTATAATTCTAAACGAATCTTTCTTAGAAACTGAAGAAAATGTTTCGTGATATATACCTTCCTTCTGAGTAAAACCATTGGTTACAAGTCTAGTTTTATATTGTTCTATATGGCAGCATTTTTTTTGATTTTTTGTAAACCCATTTACAACTAATGGTTGTATATCTAACGACAATTCAACGAGGTCCCAAACTTGATTTTTAGCCATAGATTCCATCTTTTCCTTCATGGTATCATACCAAAAATTTGAGTTTCTTCCTTCAATGGCATGTGAAAACGAGCTATGATCATTGTCAAGTCCAATATATGTATTGGACTTTTGAGGATATACAACATACACTACAACAAAAACAGCCCCAAAGGCCTTTTGAAACGTTTGGACATGTGTTGCAAATTGAGGTGTTGTCGTAGAGTAGGGCCCCTACAGCAACGTTTAAAAAACGTTGCCGTAGGTGCCTTCTTTTTCTTATTATTTTTTTTTCTAAACAACAATTTATACAAATTGATTGGCAAAAATTAAAAATGACTCCTTAAATAGGACAACGTTTTTTAAACAATTTATGTAAATTGATTGACAAAATTGAAACTACTCCTTTTGAGCAAATTTTAAAATTGTATAAAAATTGATAATTTCATTACAAATTTTTGAATCCATACACTTGAACATTAAAATGTGATACAACACCGTCTACATAAGTTACTAGTCACAAACTACCCAAAAATATAAACCACCCTAACTGCTCTCTAAATGTCTGATTCTAGTTCTCTTACTTCATTCCATTATTCTGTCTTCACTTTTCCAGGAGAGGTATGATCGGAGCAAGAGCCACCTAGAAAATGCAGAAAATCCATTAGCAAAAGACAGAAAAGAATATTACCTCTTCCTCACCACCATACTATATTCCTATACAGTATTGTTGAAATTTTACAAAACTAAAGCTTTTTGTATTTTCACTGGTGTAAACATTCAACAATGTAAGAGATGTGCAATAAAAATATGTTCACTCAAAAGGATTGAATTGTACCTTCTTCAACCCTTGAATTTTTGATGGCTCGTCATCACCAGAGCTTTCCTCTTCACTACTACTATCCTCCTCTTTTGTAGCTTTCATGCTAGGTTTAACAGCATTTGAAGTTGCCAAGATCTGAAAGGTATGCAATTTCACAATCACTAACAATGACAGATGAAAATTCAGCCATGAGAGTAAATAAGTTATATATTGATCACGTACTGGGACTTTCTGCTTTTCTTTTGAGGCTGTTCGTCATCACTTTCCTTAGAACTGTCAGATTAAGATTCATCGCTGGAATCATCTTTCTTTGTAGCAGCCACTGAGCCATTTTTAGCTGCAGGAACATCATCTTCTAAACTTTCATCATCACTGCTCGACTCATCCTTCTTTGAAGCTGCAACAGGGGCATTTTAAGTCACAGTAGCAGGAACTTTCTTGGTTGCTGCAACATCCTCATCCGAGTTAGACTCATCTTCAGGATCAGAATCCTCACTTGACTCATCAGAATCAGACTCTTCTTTCTTCTTGGTAACAACAACAATGCTGCTCTTAGATGCAGCAGGACGTTTCGTAAGTGCTTCAGCGTCCTCTTCTGAATCACTACTTTCATCATCTGAGTCAGACTCTACAGTTCCATTCTTAGCAGCTGGTCGCTTTGTTTTAGGAACCTGCATGAGACAACAAACAATAACACATGAAGATGCATCAAGACTAGCAATTGAAACAAACAAATAACAAAACATTGAAAAATTAAATTGTTCAACTTTACTTCATTCTCATCTGAACTGCTAGATTGTTTGCTATTTTTGGCCACACCATTTCTAGCAGCAACTTTTCCTTTAGCGGGCTCCTACAAATGTCGTATAAATGAACGAGCAGAACATTAATGTTCAAAACTTTAAAGAAAACATGGGCTACATGGATGTAAGATAGTACAAGCAGAAAGCAACACTCAAATCATCAGAAGATGATTCTTCTTCAGAACTACTAGATTCTTTCACTGGCGGCTTGACTACTGCTCCTCCCTTCTTAGCTGGTACCTTAACCTAATAATTTACAAAACAGAAACTAACATGAAGCAAATTTCATAGATTTAAAAACATAAGACAGGATAATGCTTCCGTAATTGAATGTCAAAGTGCTAACTATTTATAATATAGACCTAGAATAATTCACAAAATTGATAAAAGATTAAGGCCCCGTTTGGTACGGATTCTCCAATTCTACAGTAAATCAATTCTCATTTTCAACCACACATTCTTCAATAAAATAATATTTTCCATCACATCAATAATCTTATCTTCTTTTTCAACCACACATTTCCCATCATATCACTATTCAAAATCAATTCTTCCCCCAAAAAATCCCTACCAAACAAGCTCTAAAAATTTCAATAAGCATTCCTGGTTCAGGCCATAAAGGTGAAGTACAAAAGCCAAAGGTATAAAATAAATATGCAAGTTATAGTCAGGTTAATCCAGGCACATACAAAAATCACAAAAAAGATTTAAAAGCAGAGGAATAAGGATAAAAATGGCAATTAATATTCTTTAATATATTTCCAGAAACCAGCATGAATAAAATTCATATATTTAAAAACATAAGTGAAAAAAATGCTTTCATAATTGAATTTGTCAAAGTGCTAACTATTAACAATATAGGCCTAGTAAAATTCACAAAATTTGATAAAAGATTTTTCATAAAGCTTTCCTCTAGCCACAAAGGTAAAGTTCAAAAGCATAAGGTACAACGCTAGTATGCATCTTATAATCAGAATAATTAAATATATCGCGCACACATATTAACATACAAATTAAAAGCAGAGAAACAATGAGGATAAAATTGCAAATAATAATTCTAATAAAAAGGCAAACAAACCTTGAGCTCTTCTTCAGAGGAAGAGTCTTCTTCTGAAGAAGACTTCACTTTCTTCTTGACGTTATTCTTCTGAACCTTAGCCTCATTCTTCTTCTGCACTTCCACGTCCTTCTTCTTTTATGGTTTCTTCAACACCGCTTCCCCCAAATAAAACCAAAACTGGAAATGTGCCCCCATTAGAAACCCAAGAATTTCCATCCCCATCTGAGACTAGAAGCCAATGACCCCAAAATAAAACCACAGTAATTATTCTCAATTGGACAGCCCAACAACAAGTCCTCCAGAATCCCCATTTCCAATTATCCCCTACAGAACCCTAAAATCCCTTTCCAAACCCTAGAAATTCCAATCAGTTAACTAGTTATTAAAAATCTTCAACAGATTAATATCGTTCATAAAAAAAAGACCTCGGCGAAGTCAGGTTGGTGACCAGGGTTGTGCTGGGATTCGGGTCGGATCTCAATGTCGGCGGACTCATCCATGATTTCTTGCATCGTGTTCTAAATAAACTCATTGAATAAGTCGAGTTGCTGACGCACCAAACCCTTCTCCTAAAGTAGGCACTGATCACCGCCCATGCGTTCTCCTGTGTCTCTTAAACTCCGTCGGAGCCAAAGAGACGAGACGAGAAGAGAAGAGAAGAGAAGAGAGGAGCCTGGGAGATGGAAGAAAGAATGTTGAGTGATTGTGTGTGGCAAAAGTAGACATTTCACAATGTTTGTCAAACGTTACAGAATGTTTTATCTGTCGCAACGTTTATCAAACATTGCAAAAAGTAAAACCTTTCACAACGCTTGTCAAACATTGCGAAAGGCTTTGTTGAGTGATTGTGTGTGGCAAAAGTAGACATTTCGCAACGTTTGTCAAACGTTACAGAATGTTTTATCTGTCGCAACGTTTATCAAACATTGCAAAAAGTAAAACCTTTCACAACGCTTGTTAAACATTGCGAAAGGCTTTGTCTTTTGCAACGTTTGATAAACGTAGCAAAAAATAAAACCTTCCGCAACACTCAAAAAGCGTTGCAAAAAGTGTCTATCGCAACATTCTTCTAAAAAACGTTGCCCAAACTCATTTAAATTAACCAATGACAATATTGACTTACTAAAATGTTGCCAAAAGACCTTTTTAGCAACATTTATCAATAAATGTTGCATTTTTAGTGTTGCAAATGACTATTTTTGTTGTAGTGATAACCACTAGAAATTGTTAGTTTTCTTATTCTTGAGGATCTCTTTATACCTACTACATTATTTTATTATGTGTATTTTGAGTAGTAACAGGCTCCGCGCCGAGTGACGATTCTCAGTCTAAGTTTTCCTCGTACAATAACAGTTGTTTGTGAGTTTGTTCAACTTCAGTTGTACTTGAGTTCTTTATTTCGAAAGGAATCAATATACCTTGATTGGAAGATGACCTAAATAATTCGTTAATTTCCTGAGAATTAATATTTTTAGGAAATTCACTAACACTCACTTTATGATCCTTTAGAATTTTTTCATTTCTAGCTTGGACAATTCTTGAAGTGTGCGAAGGACAATAGAATCTTTAACCTTAGAAGTTCACCGGATAGCCTATGAAATATCCACTAACTATCCTCAAGTCTAATTTTTTTTTATAAGAGGATTATAAACCCCCACTTCAATTGGACAACCCTATATGTATATATGTCTCAAACTAGGTCTCCATCCGTTCTAAATTTCAAATGGTGTTTTAGGAACTGCCTTAAATGGAACCCTATTTTTATCTACAGCAGTTTTTATGGTTTCGCTCCATAAATGTAATGAGAGACTTGAATTGCTTATCATACTCCTAATCATGTCCGTTAAGGTTAAGTTTCTTATTTCAACTACACTATTTTGGTACAATGTTTTATGTAGTATATTGAACTACAATGCCTTGTTCTGCTAAAAAATAGCAAATGGACTTGGCATTCGTCCATTTTCTGTGTACCGTCCATAATATTCTCTATCCCTATTTGACCTTATAATTCTGATTTTTTTTTCCTTTTGTTTTTCAACTTCTACTCTATAAATCTTGAAAACATTTATGTCTTATCCTTATGGTTTAAAGGATAGAGATACATATATCTTAAGTGATCATCCATAAATGGGATAAAATAACTCTGACCATTTAGACAAGGAGTGAAAAAATGTCCACAAATATTTGTGTTAAATAATCTTAAGAATGTCTAAACTCTTTTTGACGCCTTTAGTAATCTTATATCTGCTTTCCCTTTATGCAGTAGTAGAAGTCCTAAAATTAGTGAAGTCAAGAGTTTGTAAAACTCCATCATTTACTAATCTTTTGACTCTCTATGGAGATATACCCCAATGTCCTATGCCATAATTAAGATGAATTCTCTTTAACCATACAATGCTTACTGCCAATACAAATACTATGCAGGTCGAAAAAATTACATTCATAAGTGGGATCTAAATTAAATTATATAAATTACAAACCAAAATACCATATCCAATAACAATTGAAATCTGAAATAAACTAAAACTTCTGTCTTCAAACAAAAAATTAAAATATAACGGTGCTAGTTTTGAAATAGAAACTAAATTACGAAAACATGTTAGAACATTAAAAGTGTTTTTAAGACTGAAATGAAAACCGATTGTTAAAACTAATCTAAAGATTTGCACGCCTTGAGCAGTTGATTCCAATCGATTTCAACAATAGATATTTTGTTTAAAGTTAACAATTAATTTTAATCATATATTTCGTGGGACCTTCAACTTTTCAACCACACATTCCATCAACTTTTAAAAAAATTGGCTAAAAATCTAATTTTAATTTCCATCAAACAGGGCCTAAGTATCATTCATAAGACCCTCCTAATGAAAGGAAGCAGAGGTGCACACTAAGAATTAGAAAGACATCTAATACTCTTTATTTATCGATACTTCTTAAATATCGAAATTCTAGCAACACACGACATAATATTATCACAAAGTAAATAATTTTGTGATAAAATTTGGCACCATTTTTAGACCCTGTTTGATTTAGATATAAAACAAGTTTTTAGTAGATTATGGTAAAAGTTAATAAAATGTGTGGTTGAAAAGTTGTGAATTCCATGAAATATGTAGTTAAAATTAATTACATTGAAGATATCCAAGATTTAAGTTCAGCTAAGGCGGACCTTGATCATTGACCATCGACAATCAATGATCGTAATACCGAAGTCATTTATTAATATTTAATTAAATAAGATTAAAAAATATTCAATATATATGTACTCAACTAGAAGTATTGCGGTACTAAATGCACCACTAGAACTAGAAAAATTAGGTATGGACTTTCGTTTCGGTTGAAAAAATCGTTCCATAATATTTAAAATGCCCCAATTTATTTTTCAATTAGAATTGATTAAAAAATAGACTACATATAGTTAAATTGAGCCCAACATCTTCTCAATTGATTTNAAAAAAAACCCAAAAATCGTCGGCTCGCTGTCGCCTTCCTTTCACTGTTCCGGCGAAGCCCAACGCGCGCGGCCGCACCCCTTCGCCGGGAGCTGGCTCCGCTGCTTCCTACAACAAAGAAGATTCTGATGACAACTTACTGTTTGCAGAAGTGGAGAAGCCTTCACAAGAGCCAAAGCCCAAAAGTTCAAAAGTTTTGGAGAATATGGCATGGAAAGGTTCAGTTGCTTAAGGTTTCTGAATATAGCAGTGCTTTGCGGCAATTCCATTACCTAAAGGCCAGACAATAAGGTTGTTAAAGTATGAGCATATGTAGTCTTACATGAACTGTGAAGCCATATATATTTTCATACTTACTTGAATTGGATTTAAATGCATAGTTAAGGATTCAAGCTGAGGAAAAGATTCATTGAAGATATCTCAATCATAGGTGCCCTATTGTTGCAAAGAACTCGCAAATGCCTCAGACGAAGAGATGATGGGTCTGTAATTTGATGCCACTTTACACCATTTCAATGTTAGGTCTTCAAGTTGAAGTTGGGGGCAATTGTACAAAAGATTTGTTAAATCTTCAACCAAAATCGGCTAGTTGTAAGTAGCCCAGGGCTATGGAACAAAGGATTATCCTGGACCTACACCGAGGTATTGACGGTGATTTTCAAATCTTGTAGAATAGAATGTGATACGATGAGATAGAAACAAAGACAGGGAACAAATTACCTACTCTTAATGGTCAAAGCGAGCCCATTTATTTTGAATTCGTTAATTCAGAATGAATCAAATCTCCCCAATTAGGATTCGAACCTACGACCAATCAGCTAACAGCCGACCGCTCTACCACTGAGCTACTGAGGAACAACGGGAGATTAGATCTCATAGAGTTCAATTCCCGTTTTCAACCCATGACCAATATGAGCTCGAAGCTTCCTTCGTAACTCCCAGAACTTCTTCGTAGTGGCTCTCTTCCATGACTCATTTCAGAGGGAATCTCAAAGTGCTATTTCATTATATTCCATCCATATCCCAATTCCACATATTCCAAACGCGAGATTTTCAAAAATCTAAATCCACAAAATTCACCCATAGCTTTCAAAACTTGTGATTGTAAATGCATGTGTCGTAACATAGACGTTCTTGGGATTGTAACTTTCCATAAATTTTCCATTTGTTTCTCAATGATGGAACTTTGCTTATTTCTTTGGAGAAAAGAAAATATGGAAAATTGTGATCAAGGTGCTTCCTTTGTTGTATAAATATCAATGAAGTTCAGCCTTGGTGAGAAAGCAAGTTTAATTTTTTCACCCCCAGATTTAATTGCAACATCTATCCATTTATCAATATAAGATGAATATATTGTATGCATACACAAAGCCACCTTCAAAGAAGTTATATTTTTTCCATGGAATAGTCGAATGGCATGATCAGCTCTCCTAACAAGTTCCCACCTCTTTGTTTCAAAATCTTCCACCTTTTCATTGTCAATCTTTCTTCACTTGATTGAACATGTTAATAAAATCAGTATCTTGAGGATCCTATGAGTGCAAAGGTTTCTTCATCTACGCGAGAGTAAGCTAGTTTTCACAGCATCCTTTATGCTTAATAGCGAAACTATGATCCCATGACACAATCAGGCAGTTCACTGATCTGATCCTCGTGTTCCCAGTTAGTCTATCCAAGTAAAGAAGAAATAAATCAATCCACATATACAAATAAAATTAAAACTAGAACGTTCATCGAAGATTAATTAATATTGTAGAGTAGAATTTGGGTTGCCTAAATTAAAGGATAAAAACTCGAGGCAAGTAACTTTTGTACCTTATTGTTGAAAGCAAGAGTATGTTTCTTAAGCAGTATTAGATTGTATTCGTCAATAATACAAATACTGCCTTACCAAACGTTTCGCAACTGTTTTCTCATTATAAACAAACAATTAATAAAGAAGGGAAATAGCTCTAACTTTGCAGTCAACAGACATATATTGAAGTCATATTTGAATTTCAAAAATTCAAGTAATATCTTAAACCCTTGAAACCAAACAGCCCCATTACACTAAAGAGATCGAGTTATTTTCATTAAAATTCTTAGTGACACTTCAGTTTTCAAGACAAATGAATATTTATTGGACCAGATTGTGACTCCACCATCCATCAAAGCAGAAAATAAAGATGGAACAAGAGAAATTTTCGTCCGTAGGCTCGGATGTGTACCAAATGGCTACTCGCTCAAGCACTTGGCAAAAGCTTTCAAAGAAAGGACTATAGAAGATTATACAACACAGTCCTCCCGCCACAAAACCTGGTTTTCTGTTCACCATGACGGGATCAAACCTTCCCTACCCACAATTACACAATATCTACGAAGAATTCAAAGAGAACTAATCTCTGTAAAAGAAAGTGTAAAAAGAAATATAGAACACAGAGAGTTTTTGAGAGAGTGACGCTTGAGAGAGATGAGAGAATGAGTGACTGTTGCGTGTTTCAACCGTGTCATAATCTGGACAAAAGGGTGCTTTCTCCTCTTTCAGTGTTGTTCCAAGTAAAACAGGTAATGAGATGGCTTATACTCAGAATCAAACATAAAAAAAAGACTTTATTTAATTTTAAGACATAAATCTAGAACATAAAATTATCTGTTTTTGTTCATTGAATATTTACATAAATTCATTGAAATAATAATAATAATAATACTAATAATAATAATAATAATAATAATAATAATAATAATAATAATAATAAAGAAATTAAGTTCATGATTGCAGACTTTTCTTTTTACCTCCATCGAGATCTCTGATTAAGGTCGTCGTCGTGTATTTCGAATCTGACGGGAATGATAGCAGTTGAGATTTATAAAGCCTGTTTAGTTTGAGAGATATTTGTTGGTTTACTACTGCTTTGGTTGGTAGAAGAAGGAGTCCTAAGTAAAGAAGGAAACTTACAAGGCTATATTTTGCTGAAAATAATTTTGTACGTGTTTACTTCACAGTGGTTGAAGAGGAGGTTGCTGATGCATGCAGGAAAATAGAAAACGCTAGCCATGACAAGAACTTGTATAAATTGAAGGTAGATTTTTGGAGGAGAAATAATATAGAACACGGGTCATTCAAATCCTGGTCATCAGACTGCAGGCCTGCCAATTATTTCAGATTTAGCCGAAAAACTTGGACCTAAAAATTCAGGGGTACTTATAAAAATATCCTTAAAATTAGGGATGTTTTGAAAAATCATATGAAAGGTTTTTAGTAAGTAAAAAATACTGTATAAAATGAAAAAGTAACACAATGTCACTTTTTTATAAAAATTGTCACTTTTTCTTTTAAAAAGTGACAAAACTAAAAAAAAGTGACACACTCTCAAAAAGTGATGACACAAACTCAAAAAAGTGACAAGTACCAAAATAGCACCATCCATTTGTACAGTACCAGTAATCATGTTCTTAAAATAATCGGTACGTCCAGGCCAATCCACATGCTAATTATGTTAGGAAAATAGAATATATTATTTCACTTTTTTTATCTTATTAAAAAGTGACACTTAAAAGGTTACAAAAACTTAAAAAGAGTGACAAAATTTTAAAAAGTGATACAAGGTCACTTTTATAAAATTGACGAGCAATTTTGACATCCTTATATAGTAATGCATAAAATTAAGTAAGTGACAGTATGACACAATCTCATTTTTATAAAAAAGTGATTTTGTTAGTTAAAAAAGTGACTAAAAATCAAAAAAGTAATAGAACATAGTAACAAACACTATAAAAAGTGACCGAAACTCAAAAAAAGTGACAGAACTTAGAAAAGCAGTAGCTGGCTAGCAATCAAGAACAGGAGACGGAAAATGGAAAACAAATATTTCCCCCTTTAGATCCATAACATTAATTGTACGAAACATTAGCATATTCCATTGTTAGTCACAATCGAAATGTGCAGTTCATTTTCTTCATGTTATTATCATGGATTAAACTAGTTGTACAGACTTGGTGTATATTAAGTTTGACACTTCATGTGTTGTCAAAATTTATGCCATCAATTGTTTAAAGTATTGATAAAATCAATGTGTAAAAAATTGCCAACCTCATAACAATGTCAAATGTAATGCCAATAAAGATGGAAAACATGATAAACTCTAAGTTCCACTAAATTAGAATTTTCTTCCAGTTGAACCTAAAAAATGTCTCAACTCAAAGTTGAACACAAAACATATTATCCACCCAAATAGGCTCCAAATATATTACTGAATATCCTAGTATTCAATAACTGCAAGTGAATTAAATTCTAAGATCAATTTCAGATTATTTCATGTAGATGCTTAGAAAAAAAATGAAGATATGAGCGTAGCAGTACCAGCAGAACGAAGCGATCTCCCTTATCATTATACAAATCAAACACTTATCATGGAGAAAACTTTGGTCGACCAGACAGTGATCCTTCATTCCCCTGGAACTGTTCATTCAAATCTCCACTAGTCCCATTCTTGATCTTCATTTTCATTTACAGTTTCGCTAAAAACTGTTGGAAATTAGCGGGGTTGTTTTGGCATAATTTTGTGTTGGGTTCGTTTCTTCTTTTTTTATAGGTCAAGGTAGATTCATGTTCTCTTCTTCAAGAACGTCAAAATCATATTTGCCCAGAATGATGCTCAAACTATACATGTTGATTTAACATTATTGCGATAAAAGTTATATCGGCACAAGAAATTAAAAGCTAAGCTCCCTGTAGATTTACCATTATTCATTAAAACATTCTTACTGCAACATTTTCATTTGGATAAGAGTTTGAAATTTACGGTTCAATTTTGAGATTTGAAAGACAAAATTCCATATTTGATACTTGTGAGTTAATTCGAATTTCTTTTGGGTTACTGAAAGCAACACTTAACTTTTTAAACAATATTATTTAGATAAAATGCAAAAGCAGTAACAGAGCAAAAAACAAAACAAAACAAAAATAAAAATAAAAATAAATAAACTGTGAAGCATTTAAAAGTGAAATTGAAATTAAAGCTATTCACAGATTTACAAGGAAATAGAGCTTATCCCCATGTTTGTAAGCCTATGAAGAAAGTTTAGGGTTTAGGGAAGATCCTTCAACCGAATTACTCTTCCTCCTCATAGTCGTCAGTTCAGTTTACTGCAATCTCTTTCTTCACCCATGCATCCGAGATCTGTAATGGTGTTGGCACTGTTAAATGATGGAGTAGTGTGGATCACAAAGTATTTAATAGTGATGATGAACAAAACACTTTTTCAGAGATGAGTGGATTTGAGCATATTT